AATCGATTTCTTCTCTTTGTATGAATTTGATTGAAGATACTCCAATTACGCTCGCATGCAGAAACCGAACACGTTAGGCTAAGAACTTTAACTGCAAAAGCTTTCAATTCAGGAACATCATCTCCAAACTGAGCCCACCAACGTTCTACATAGTATTTTATGTATATTGGTTGAAGTTGAAGACTTGAACATAAATATTAACATTAAAATTATAAATACACAAACTACAAACATACCAGGAGATCGTGTTTTGTAGCATGCTTGTGCTGCTCTAAATCCAAACATTCCCTTCTTCAAATGAAAATCCTCAAGTTGATCATTAACTTTGAGGTAGTTTTCTTCAGAAATGAGTCTATCCATACATGCATACAAACCAGTTTTCACCTCTTTGTCAACATGAAAATCCTTATCATAATGAAATTGGGGATTTAAATAGTACGCAGCAGCATGTAAGTGTTGGTGTAATTGTCGATCCCACTTTTCATCTATAATATCCCATATTTCTTTGTAGGCACTTTCTTGACCTCCCAATTCTTTTGCAATATCTTCTTTAGCCCTATTCATTGCTTCATAAATAAATCCCATAGCCGGGGCCCTCTCACCATCAACCATTCTAAGCACCTTTACTAATGGTCATGTTGTCTATTTAGCATAGTTTGTACTTCGCCAAAATTGAAAATCGTCTTCATACATTTTTTAACCTTGTTTTCCTTCTTGTTTTTTGGCCCATGAACTTTATTCCCCTCTCAGAAGCAAAACATTGGCTTCCAAAGGTTGTCTATAACTCCTTGAATATCTGCAATGTTAAATAATGCAGGACAAATCTTGTAACAGCCAGACCTAATAATTTCCTTGTCAGTGAATTTCTATCAAGATGAGTACCCAAGAATGATGATATAAATTACTAACGAATTTGGCCTTTAATATGACGTGATTTATGTTAAGGCAAACGGTCCCAACCTCTCAAGCATCAATTCAATACATGTGCAGCACAAGGAGTCCAGTAAAGGTGAGGCTCTTCCATTAACATTCTTCATGCAGCTTTTATGCACTTGCATTATCAGTAAACAACTTGTACTACTAAGCATTCTCCCACTTCCTCCACAATCATCCAACATTTCAAACATAATTGTGCCCTGTACAAAGCTTGGAAGCATCTAACTGATTTGAGAAAAACTGTTCATATGGATTATATCAAGAAATTAATAATACTTCTATGTCGAAATATCCGACCAACCATCTGCATATTGTCACTCTTGTCTCAATTCCAAGTCTTCTTAACATCATCTCACCATTTAAGTTCTTAACCTCCTCATCAGCATCCAAGCCAGCATACTGTGTGGGAAGTTTATAATCCTCTCCATAGCTCAACAGATCGTAACATATTGATCCACTGACGGACTCCTAACAAATTAATGGAATTCGCATTTCATAACATACGAGATATCCAAACCTGATACTTATTCCTGATCTTTTTTGTAGCTGTTATGATGTGTTGAAATTCCTAGTATTTTTTTTTCAGTTATCAAATAATAGCAAAATCCTCCATGGGCCCGCCGACTGCCGCGATCAGAAGGAAACTAGATGTCCATACTTGAACTTCATGTGCCGTGATGTCCATAATAATGATTTAGATCATCCTCTTCCCATATTTTCTTATGTTTGACCTCCTTTGTGGGGTCCAAAACTTCTTTAATAATTTGTACTTCCTTCTTCACCTCATCAGGAACTTTTGCACATGGTCCCACATTGACATGAGTGCAGGCTAGATGATCCCTTCAATCTCTTGACGCCGCCACCAGTTATGCGGTTTTCTCAAGAAATTACCTTCATGTAAAACAAATCCCCTTCTTTTCAACTTCGCCTTGGAACCACTTTCAACTTGAGTTCCATATTTTCATGCAGGATTCTTTCCTTCTTTGTGCCACAGTCATGCAACAATTAGGATATATTTTAATTATTTGACTACCATAATACCAATAAATAAAAACAACATGAATACAAAAAATATACCAGTCTGCCGAGAGGTTCAAGGGGGCGCTGCCCCCTGGCGGGGTTCACCGAGCCGTACCGAGCACGTACGCTTGAAATTCTGCTTGTTGTATATGCCATACCGAGCGTACCGACGTGTACCGAGCATGTACCGCTCGGTACGGAGCGGTACTGGCTCCGGTACCGAGCGGGTACTTGCTCGGTACCGAGCAGTAACCGTCAACGTACCGAGCGTTACCCTAAAGGTATCGAGCATGTACTTCGTTTCGTACCGAGACAAGACTGACAGTACGAGCAGAGGTAACCGAGCAATTTACAATCTGATGAAGCGAGGACTGAAGCAAATAACGGAAGAAGAAAGATCGTACCTAGCTCGTGAAAAAGAACCTTCGATTACAAGAAGCTGGAGAAGAAGAAGCGAGACATTGAAGCAAAATGAACGGGAAGATTACGGGAAGCAAGAGAAGAAGAAGAAATAAATCGTTACCTTCGATCGCCTCCAGCTATGTTCGAACTCGACCGAACTGTTCGTCCAAGTTGGCGGAGTTCGCCTTTCAGTTCTCACCCGAAGCAGAAGCAGGTATGTTACCCTAATACTCAACTCTTATATGACTCTCACCGCTCGGTCTATATACTTACAAATCGAAGCAGTGCCTCGTTTCGCTTCGAGGCGTTACGAACCGAAGCCTACGCCCTGTGTGAAATAAGCGCACGCTCCGCCGAATCCAACGAGGCGTAAGCCTCAACGCGCAAAGGCTTCGCCTCACCTTAAGTCGCGCCTTAGTGCGTACGCCTCTTCCGCCTTTTTAATCGTTGTGTGGTAGTCATAAGGCTTCCACTCAGTAGATTTGAATACATTGTGGTGAAATAAAAGTACACTGGTGGAGGCAAAAAGATTGCCATTTTTTCTGTCTACAACTCTGTTTTATTGAAGGGAAGGGTGTGAATGCAGGAAGATTCATGAATGGTAACATCTTTTAGAAAGTAGGAGGATAAGGCTTGCTTAAAGTAATCTTTGGTATTTTAAGAACAATTTTTTTTTTATTTTGAATTGGCTATGGATCATAGTGTGAAAATGGGAAGGATAGTGCTAACATCAGATTTATTATTTTAGGAGAAAAATCCAAGAGGCTCGAGTGCAGTCGTCAATGAAGGATACAAACCATCGAGCCCCTTCATGCTGGAAATTTTTTAGGATCCTCATATATCACTATGAATAAGGTAGAATGACATATGACATCTCTCATTTAATTTGAGAAATAAACTCACTTATACTTGGCTAACTCACAGTTTCACAATGAAATGATTTAGTTTTCTTTTCGATACATATTTTTAAGACATCACAAGATGGATGTCCTAATCTAAAATGATGAAGTCAAATAGTAGATTTTTATTAAATAGGGATAACATAGAATATATATATTATTAATAATAGTGGATTTATTCAGCTCTTCCAAATAGTATACTCCATCTTTCTCCTTAGCAAGCTCAATCTTCTTCCTCGATCTTTGGTTCTGAAATAAACAAGTAGGATTAAATAGGGCATGACACTTATGGTCACTGATAAATTTTTGTATGGAGATTAAATTTATGGAAAATTGAGAAACATAGAGCACAATTTTGAGAATGAGAGAGGGAGATAAGGGTATATCTCCTTGGTATGCTACTGTGGTAAGAGAACCATCATGAGTGATGATTTTCTTATCATTCGGGCTAGGAGTATAATTGATGAAGTGGTTAATAGAATGTATCATGCGATATGTGGCTCTTGAGTTAATGATTCATAAACTTTTCAAATGTTTTCTAGAGACACTTAATCTAATATATATATATATATATAGGAAACTTACCTGAAAGTACAAGAGAAGAAAATGCAGGTATTTTTCAAGGGATACCAAGAGTTATTTTATCATATCAATATCTTCTTCGTTGAGCTCTCTGAAATTGGATTGTGTTTTTGGGCTGGGCTGACTTGTTGTAGCATTAGCTTGTAATAATTTTTTGTCTTGTCGACTTTTTTTTATTCAACTCCTTACTTGGGGGCTTTCCATATAACTTCCAACAGGTCTCTTTTGTATTTGTTGATTTCTTGGAATAGTTGCACATAACGAGTTTTTATTGTCTTTAAGTTTTGAGGAATCCTTACCTCTTTCCTTTCATAGTTCCTCTTTGGTGGTCATAATTGCTAAACTGCAATAACCTTTGGTTCAAGCATTACCCCTCGTCAGCTTTTCTCAACACGAATGAGAGAAATAGTCTTATATAATGAAGGTGTCTCCTCTTTGCCAAGGATTTGAACTCTAGTCAGGTCAAACTTCTTATTTAATCCTACAGGAAAGTCATGCACTCTATTTTTCTCAATAAAGCTTGTCAGGATAACAACATCTTCTAGACACTTTGTCTCTATATACATCTGTAATGATCAAGTTCTTATCATAAGCCTTGAAGGAGAGTGGCATATTCAGTCGCGGTTTTGCTTCCTTGTTTTGTGATTCCCACCTTGACCTTAATTTCAAAGACTCGAGTAGCATCCCAAGATTTTGAGAAGGTTTACCTAGCGACATCCCATATGTCCTTTATAGTAGATAGGGACATGAAACTATCACTAATTTCTAGAATCATGGAGTCCATTTCTAGTGGTACACATTCAATTTGTTTTCAACAGAAAATCAAAGTTGATATGAAAAGTTCACTGCTATACTCGGCCCAAAGAGCACTCATATTGATGTCACTTCTTAAAAATGAAATTTGAAGTTACTCCAGTAAAACATTTTCTAATTCACAAAACAAGCATGAAAAGATGAGTAACATCCGCTTTTAAGAGATACATCCAAAGGTAGTATTTTGCTAGGTATGAAACGAATGATTGCAGCTTGATAAAATAAATGCATGCTGAGTAATCTACCAAACAAACTCCTCAAGGAAAAAAAGAAGCAAGAATACATTATTGGTCACCTGGAAAACATGTTGAAAACCAATTTCATTCCCTTCAAGAACAAATGTATCAACGGTCATTCTTCCTGGGGGCAAATCTGTTATCTACTAAACCACATGCAACCAAAAAAAAGTCAATCACCGTTAAGAAGTAGCAAACTGACCAGTGACCACTCACAACTGCAGCAACAACTCCATATCATCATATAAAACAATGTGAACATGATTCAAGTAAAACAAAATTCAAGTACTACAGAAAATACATCAGGATGGAAATATTATGCTTTTGAAACATTATAATTGGAGAGAGCCCACAAAGAAAACATTTTACATAAGAGCAAAATGAAGAAGAAAAATCTCATTAAAAGCCAATTCAAGAGAAAGAAATGTGCTTAGCTTCAAGAAAAAAGCATAAGTAAAGCTTTCTAATCAAACACCCAGATTGATGGGCTTCAGCTGTCATGATTCCACTCCATTAGGTTCATTCTAACTCTGAAACTTCTCCTTTTTCCTGAGTGTTGCGATTTTTCTTATTTCTCTAATCATATAAAAGGCAACATGACACCCTAATTATAATTCATCTAGTTCAAACCAATAAACCTTCATTGGATTAAAGAACTTACTTAAAGAAAAGGTGTGGATTAAAGAACTTACTAAAAGAAAAGTCACCTTGTTTAGTTGTCTAGATTTAGTTTTGATAAAATAGACGGGAGCACGATTCTTTCTTTTTTAATACATTTGTTTGACAGCTTCCCAAACGTTTTTTGTTGTATACAAAAATATATACGGTTCACATATTTCAAGCATCATGGTACTCCACAGCCACGTCTTGATCGTGGAATCAACTTCATCCCTAACGCAATAAAAAATTTGGGAGAGGGCCCCAAATTTTTTATCACAAAAAGAATACTCTTTCTAAGATGATAGAAAAACATAAAATACTCAAAACTTGACAAAATATAACTAACAAAACAAAACACAAGTTTAATATTATAAAAGGACTTACAAACAAATACTCTTACAAACTTGACTCAAATAAGACACCCTAAACTTGCTTTCCAAAAGAAGAAGGATACATGTGAGGTGGTACTTGCGGAGAGACGAAAGAGGTTAGAAGCCAAGACGAATGGTGGAAAGAACTCGCAAGTCTTTCCTATAGGAGATGAGAAGGAGAATGGGACAAGCTCGCAAGCTTTTCCAACAAAACCCGCAGGTTTACATTTCCAAAAATCATCCATATAACATTTTTAAAACAGCCACAAACAACTCTATATATAGGCATGAGAGTGGAATACAAACAGCCCAAAACTCTTCATATTCTAAGTAAATGAAAAGCCAACAATCAACACATAATTCTACACTAGAAACAAAGCATCACAAGCCACGGGAAAACCCCCCAAAAGCCACGGGAAAGCAGCCCAGGCGGAACCCGAAGAGGCAGTCGCAAAAGTCAAGGAGGCCCGCACGGAACCGAAGTACCAAGGCACGGGAAAGGCCACCCAGCACGAAAAACCAGCAGCCAACCGGGGAAACCAAGGAGCCCAAGCACGGAAAATCAAAGGGCCATCCACGGGAACCAAAAGGACAACAAATGGGGAAATGAACCTCAATTTATGAGGTAAAAAGGCTCTCTACTAGACATTAATGAGCTGATTCTAGCAAAGGACCTAGAAGCTCACCAAATTTATAATTCAAAATGTTTTGACCCTCCCCTTTTGCCTACATCAATCCCAAAGTACAAACATTAGGTCATTCGACTCGGGAAGTAGATCCATAAGGTGATGGATCTTTCACTTTCCTTCTCAAAAAGGTCATCACAATTTTGTACCACTTAAGATAGTTGCTTCCCTTCAAATAATATGAGCTTCATAGCCTCTAGAGTTCTTTCTTAGGTTTGCTGTCGTAGTGAGGGTTTCAGCAAAAAGTTCAATGGGAAAAGGGAAATTTGGGCAATAAAAGATGTTCAGGGAAAATAATAATTTCCTCCCGTTTTTGCAGACAAAAATACAATCCGCCCAAAAAAAGGTTAAACCTAAAAATTTAGACAATTTTCCAATGTTCACATAATATCATGTGGTAATCTATCTGATGCAAGTGAAAGAGAAAAGGAATAAACAATATAATAAATACTTCTTTGTACAGCAACATGTCAATTGTAATTCAAGATACCTGAGTTAGAGACATATCGCCATATATGGCCAAAGCCAAAGTTCGTGGAATTGGAGTTGCTGACATGGTAAGAATATGAGGAGCCATAAAAACCTTATCTTCACTTGAGTCGTCCCGTGTTGTATTACTCATTCTTAAGCAAGGTGACGCAGAATATAACTGCTGACATATAAACTCATAAATATGTCCTCAAGAGAAAGTACAGGAATACAAATACGGGTAAACGTAACCAATAGAGCAGATGATTATAGCCCAAACCATACATGTACAGATCCAGATAAAAAAGGCAAGCAAGAATCATCTAATTGAATTTGCTACATTCATGGAAACATACGATGGAGAAAAATAGTGAAGAAGCGAAGAAGGGAGAAAGGATGGAAGAGCTTAACTTTATAGATATTCAAGGGAAATTATTACAGCACATAACATAAGACTTTCATTTTAATCCTAACTCATCACCACTCACACGCAGAGGAGAATAAGAGAGAGATCCAAGGGGCTTGAAAGTTGAAAACTCATACTTTTCACATTCATAATCATAAAATGAAGCCATAGACATCTATCAATACATAATAGGAGGCTAAGATTCTAACTTTGCTCACAAGGTTTTGTATAACCCTGCTACAAATAGAAAATGCAAATTAAAAAATTAAGGCCATTATCTATATTTATCAAGAAACTTCAAGGACTTCGGCATAAACATTAAGACATAATAAAATGACTATAACCATTGCAACTTAAAGAAACATCGCACGCTTGGCCCTTTTTTGTTCTACATCAAATTATTTGCAAAAACATTTTAGGATGTGCTATGTACAAAGCCCCATAAACTGATGCCGAAAGACAACTGTTGATTATAACTCAAATTTTCACATATAAAACCAAAGAAGAGAACCAAGCAACAAAATAAAAGAACTCTGCTAGTTTCCAAGTCTTTTTTAATTTTGCACGTTTTAGATATCTTGGATCTATTGTTCAGAGTGATAGTCAAATTGATTCTAGTATTATCAGCAGAATTCAAGTTGGATGGTTGAAGAGGAGGAATGCATCGGGCTTGTAGTGCGATAGAAAAGTCTCCCTCAAACTTAAGGGAAAATTCTATAAGATGGTGATGAGACCTACAATGCTTTATGGTGCCGAATGTTGGCCATTAAAAGAGAAGCATAATTAATGAGGACATCGGAAGATCAACGGCTACGTCTTATGTACTAGTTTATTTTAATTTTTGTGTTTTCCCACCCCTAGGGGTGATCATATGGTGTTGTAGCCCGAATGACGTTTTAGTCTTTGTTTCTTTTCTTTTCATGAGACCTATTTATAGACTAGCTCACTTGTAATTTGGGGTGATGATTGATTAATGAAAATTCATATTTCTCTTTGTCTCTCACAATGTTGAGTGTTTGAGAGAAGAAGGAAGACCCAAGGTGTAGGCAATCGCAATACCCGTCAACCTTTGGAAGGGTCCAAGGTTCGCGGCTCTACTTTTTGTTCCTCGCATCTCCTCCGACCTCTCCTCCTTTTCCCAACACCCCAAAACCCGCCGGCCTGCACCCCCCTAAACCAAACCCCTGCTTCCCCCAACCCGCCGGCTACCTTGGCCTACCCAGCCACCGGCCGCCACTCCCAAAGCCACTGTCACCACCACGGCCCGTCCCCATCTCCACCCCCATGCCACCGGCCACCTCTCCCTCTCCCATGGAATCATGAAATTCAAATCCCAAAGCCCACAAATACCTTCCTGAAACAACTTCCCTCAATTAGGAAAGGGTATTTAATTGAATTCAATTCATATTTTTGAATTTCAAATATCTCCCTCCATAATTTAACCAAAACTGAATTTAAATTCAGATTTGATTTATTCCAATTAGCTAAATTCCTTGGGCCCACATATCTTAAATCAAATCCCAAATTAGCTCCCATATGGCCAGCCCTCCCCCCCTCTCCCTCTCCACTTTCATTAAATGCTCCCAATTAAAACTCCATAATCACCTCCCCATACCGCCTCCCCTCTCCCCCAATTTCTCTCTTCCACTTTAATTCTCTTAATTTGAATTTGAATTCAAATTCAGATTCATCCCGCCAATTTCACTTAATCTGAATTTAACTACACGTGCCACCTAAGCAAGTCATTAAATTCTAACATTATTCCCACAGCTGTCCACAGAACTCCCCACCACATTTCCCTAGCTTTTGTGCATCCAGAAGGTGGCAAATCCTAAATTTCTCCTCTCCAACGTGCTGTCCAGAATTCTGGACAAGTTCTAAGTGCTGTCATGAGACTCAGAACAAAGGAAGCTGCTGTCCGGAAGAACTACAGCAGCAGAAACAGCAGTTCTGCTGTTCCCAAGTCCTCCAGCTGCAGTCCCAAGTCGTCGAACAGGATCCGGGTCGCTGTCCAGATGAAATTCAGGCAAAGGAGGCGACTGTCATAACCGAAAAGGCCTTCTAGTTGCTCCCCCCAAAGCCCCAAACCAGAATTCGGTGAACTCTTTCCCTCTCTCTTTTATTTTCCTAGTTACATCCTTGCTTGTGGTTATTATTATAGTCATGAAGATAATGTTAATACTTCTCCGCTAACGCCTAGAAATTGGAAGAGTTGATTGAGGGATCTTCTTGTAGAGACTAATCTTATTGTTAGCATTGGGATTTATTGTTGAAAATCATTCATGTATGCAATGTTAGATTAAATAGGCTATTTTACAATCTTAACTCCTATGCATATAATTTAACCTAAGCTTGTTTTATCGCCTTAATGTTTTATCTTAGCTTTCAAATCGGCATAAATTTTATTTAATATTGTTCTCGAAATATTAAGCGTGCAAATTTTCGGAAGCCACTCATCTTCACATGTACGTTTCACATCAATAATACTAAGTTAAGTGTTGCAAAGATGAGATTGCTTAGGTGGATGAGTGGCTTTACCCTTAGAGATAGGATACGAAATGAGCATATATGTGAAAAGGTTGGAGTAGCTCCAGTGGAAGATAAGATTAGAGAGAGTCGTCTTAGATGGTTTGGTCACATTAAACGGAGGCCTTCCGATGACCCGGTTAGGAAAGTTGAGGTATTAGATTTGACTTATGTTAAGAAAGGTACAGGTAGACCTAAAAAGACTTGATTAGAAATTATTAGAAATGATCTTTCTTTATTAGATTTAAATGAGAATTTGACTTTTAACAGAACACAATGTCGAAAAAGGATTCATGTAGCCGACCCCACGTAGTGGGACAAAGACTTGATGATGTTGTTGTTGTTGTTGTTGATGATTTTTAGTAGAAACTTATTTATTTTTTAAAATTTTTAATATTAATTTGAATGTAATAAAGACATTGACTATTTTTTCCTAAACCATGTTTAAGTTTTCTTCTGTAAATAGGACCTTAGGTATAGACAGTCGGAATTAGTATTGCATTATGAAATTTATGAGAAGTTTCTGCTGATGGTACTTGCCTGGCCGATATTCTAGCTTGACAATTCAACAACCGATATCTTAAGGATTCTAGCTTGATGATAGTTTTTTTTTATGATTTTATCTCTTCTGGTAAATAGAATCTGAAACAACCTATCCGCTAGAGAGTCAACACTCTGAGTGCCCACATTTGAATCATAAGACTAATGAGCGTCCTGATCATTGTTGAGTTCACAAAATTGGAAGGACACGAGATGCTACAGTAACGAGCAGAGTAAGATAAATGCTGATGCCTGTAGTTGTTCATGTAACCACCGCAATGGGATTAGCAAGTGCAAGTACAAGAGCCTCCAAATCCAAAAGAAAATTTAAATTTGGTTCCAAGTTCTAGGATTTCCCTTGCTGTAGAGTCGTTGTCCAAGGATTAAGACATTGGTTTTGCAGAGAGTGTGGTCAAGTATGAAAAGATAACAAAAGGCACAAAAGATAACTATGATACTTGGAAGCCTTGTTAGAAAATAAACATCGAGGAATCATAAAGATTTTGAAGCCTTCAGCAAAAACTTCGAAGGGAGAAGAAATCTACAAAAGATAAATACTGGGGCTTTTTAGGTGTGTTATCATTGATGCTTGTAGTAGGTTCCTAAGATATTTAGTAGAATGTCAATAATGAATTCACCTTCAATTGTTGTTGAATATATTTATGGTTCTTAGTTAATATCCATCATGAGATATCATGAGGATAAATAGATTTTTCATATTTAATTGCAACATAAATTTCTTAATTTTGAAATGATAATATGATAACGAAAATTGTTCTTATGCATATTACCTTGGTTAAATACAATAAGTTTTGCTTATGCAAATCATATTTTACTACTTAGCTAGTATTAATCATAATAATTACAGAATAATCGTTAAACATTTTCTCATGATATGGATAAAATGTGTTTACTTGTTTACAACGGACATATAGATAAGTCCACAAAGTGACAACTCCTTTGGAAATAATTAGAATTCCATAGGTTGGTGATAACCTTTCTGATTCAAGGCATCTTCCAAAAACTTACTATAGATATATACACAAACATAAGAGAATTATGACAAATGATTTATGAGTCATCTTTGGACATTATAAATATGCTTAATGTGACCGTACATAAATCTATTTTCATAGAAATACTTTGACGACTACTCTTATATGAATGATCATGAACATCCCATATTGAAAATCTTCTTCAAGAAATTGATACTTATAGTCATTCATGTCATAAATTATTATTTTAATCTAGTGATTTGATGTCATCTATTATATTATTACTTGCAAACTGAGCCTCTTTTATTATTCATAATGCATACTCTATATATTGTGATTTATAATTTAATAAATTAAAATTATCTACTAAGTTTTAATGTCAAATTTATTAATGATAAAAGTATTATTTTAACAAATTCTACCAGGTTGTATGCTAGACCATCACTAGAAGAGCAAACTCAACAGTAATTATTTTATAGATTTGATGTTTGGGTTTAAATTATAAATATTTTATGGGTTTTGATAGTTGTTGCTTACAAAGTTATTTCATTCATTTCTCTTTTATTAGTTGCATATGCTATCCATGTTGAAGTATTGTTAAAAAACTAAGTTAATGCATTGGAATATTATTCATTACCTTATACTTACATTTATATGTTTCTGTTTACAATTTTTACATATGAACTTTTTCCTCTTGAATACAAGACAACTTTATTTAATTTTGATTGTGAGGCGCACCTTAAGACTTAAGATTAATCCCTATATCTTGGTGACCTTGACTTTACAGTACATGGAACCCAATTCAACAATGGACGTACTAGACGCAAGGAGATGAATAGACTTTGGTGCAGTCATTATCATAAGACGAGATACATTAGTAACAGCTGTTGGAAGATGTAGGAAAAACCTTTTAACTACAGATCTAAGGCAACAATAAATCATGAATTCACTGCAACACTATCGCCTCCAACATCATCTAACCTTAAGTCCATTCAATAAAAAACAAATTGAATACTTCAAAAGCTACACAAGAAAACACCATATATGGCTCATATATCTTGTTTTATCATTTTGCATAATTAATACAATCGTCACTAGAGACATTATCTAAATAGTACCAATTAAGGCATTTCCATTTTCATTTACAATACATTTACCAAAACCTTTTTCATTTCACGCGCGCGGATAAATTGTCCTCAGTATTTTCTATAATTAAAGTAGCTCTATTCAAAATTTATTTTGAGAATGACCATAAATGTTATGCATATTCATATATAGCCCATATCATGTATTGTCATTGATGCATACAAATTTCAATTTTTATTTTAATTCTTATTGTAATTTGAATGCTATAATTATTTTTGAATTTTTTTTGTGCTACCTTATGATGGAAGGCAACCAATGATCATGAGTAGGTTGTGCTTTGTGCTTGGCAAACTTTGGGTGTGCTAGTTACTTTGGTGCCTTGGCTCTTGGGCTACTGGTGGGTTCTCGGTTTGGGCTTGGCTGCTCGGCTTTTTGCTGTGTTTTGGGAGCTGCTATGCTCCAGCTCATTAATGTTGAGCTGTTGTTTTTTCAGCTCATTTTTTTTGGAAATTCATCTCATTTATTAGCTCATTATGTGGAGTGGTCTTTGCTCTTTCCCCTTCCCTGTGGCCCTTCGGTTTCCCTTGCCTGGCTCCTGTCCCATGGCGGGTTCTTCTCCCCTGGTTGCGTATTCTGGTTCCCCTGGTTGCCCGTTCCTATCCCCCATGTGGCTCTTCGGGTGCTGCTTCTGGACCGTCTGTTGGCCTTCCATTACCCCTGTTCTGATTGGATCGGTTGGAGGTGGTTTTGGGTTGTTTAGCTGCCCCTTTTCTCCTATATATATGAGATATTTTAGTGCATCAAAGGTTGTTGAATATTGAGCTAAGTTCTCTTAAAAATTCTGAGGGTTTCTTCTTTGGAATGCTTGCGAGCTTGTTCAAATTCTCATCTCCTCTCTACAATTTCGTCTTGGGCTTCTTATCCCTTTCTTCTCTCCGCAAGTTCCACTCCACTTCTATCTTTCTTCTTGAGCCATTGGAGGTGTTGGTTGGCTGGTTTGGTAGCATTTGCCGGAGGAGTTTCGGTGGACGTTGGCCCAAGTAGCTGTGGTGGACCCTTGGTTTACATGCCCTTCAGCACATCTTTTATCTACCCACTATTTTCGTTGCATGTGAGGTGATCGCTAGTCGGTTGTTCTGAGGATAGTTGTTTTTATTTTTAATTTAGTTTTCGTTTGCTTGGCTTTCATTTGTTTTTAAGTTTGTTTGATGTTGGCATTCTAAGTTTGAATCGAGAAATGTTTTACTTGTCCTGGTGTTCTCCCGTTGTGGCTTTTTTCTATCTAGTTGTCTACATCAGTCATTTTCTATAATTATTACTACCATCGTAGAAGATCCTGACTAAATAATATCAATTAAGGTACTTTCAATTTCATTCCTTCTCCAAAGCTATTTCCATATCATGCATGTGGGTATATTACATTCCCAACAAGTACCATAAGAGATTTACTCTCAATCAACATGCACATGCTATATATATATAATGGAATGTGGGGAGGAATTTAAGGGTTTCTAAAATAACTCATGGGAATTAGGAAAGACATTAAGAAATCCAATCTAATTTGAATTTCAAATAGGATTGATTTTATGCACTTTCCTAATTAGGATTTGCAAAAAAGAAAATTATTTGAAATTTGAATTTCAAATTTCAAATAAAATTAATTTCTTTCCTTTCCTCTTGGAGTTAATTTAAGAGGGGAATTATGACAATTGGAATCATCATAATGGAATGGGGCAAGAGGGGAGGCCGACAGCATGAAGAGGAGGGAGGCGGCTAGGTGTTGGGTTGGATGAAGCTATGGTAGCGGGTGGGCTTGAGGTGATGGAGTTGTGGGGTGATTGGGCGGGGAAGATGGCCGGCGGTCAAGGCTAGGAGAAGTCGGCGGGTGGGGTGGAGGAAACGGAGGATAAGAAGAAGATAAATTAAAACCACGAGTCGCAGACTCTTCCAACGACTAATGGGTATTGCGCTTGCTCACCTTGAGCTCTCTCCCTTCTCTCTAGTGCACTCACAAGAAGAAAAAAAAAAACACATAAGATTTCATCAACAAATCATCATCCCAAAATACAAAACAACTAGCCTATAAATAGGCCTCATGAAAAGAAAAAAAATAAAAGGCTAAAATGCCCTTCGGGCTACAACACTACATGACCACCCGTAAGGTTATAAAGGGAAAAACAACAATATAAAATAAACTAGTACAGAGAACATATAAATAAATAACTCAAGATCGTAGCCATTGATCTCCAATGTCCTCATCAAATTCATTGGTTCATATGAACTCAATTTCTCTAAAGTCAAACCTAAAGGGTTGAACCAAACGAGTTTTTGGCCCACTATTAATTTTTTTTATATGCTGTTTTATTCTTTAAAATTAATTTGAATAGATAGAAATAAACATTGTTTATCTTTAATTAAGCTTTAGTTTTTCCAAGAATAGGACCTAGAAAATACACATGGAATTAGTCTTGGATTATTAAAATTTTTAAAGTTACAGTAACCCATGCTTGGCTTTCAAATGTCCTTGCCTTGAGGATTCTGCATCAAAAGTTGGAGGATTCTTTGTTTGATAACCTTATATTGTGTTTACCTTCTATTTACTATTGTTTTCATCAAATGTTACAGGATTGACTTTACAGCTAATTTGATATTTTGTAAATGGAAATCATTATTTAGACACTAATAATTTTGTTTTTCACTCATCTTGAGACTGAAAATGAGTTCATATTTTTATGGATTTTTTGTAAAAATTTGTGGAGTTTGAAATAAATACTAATGTATGAATACATCCAAACAAATGATAAATTTAACAAACTTCAACGGTTTTCAAAACATGGTTTCTAACTTCAAGAAACCAAGTGAGCCCCTAAAATTATTTGTACATTCACACGTAAAAAGCGCATAGAAAATCTAATACACCATCAGTAGAAAATCCCGACAGATACGAAGACGTAGTTGCATCTTAATTTTGCCAATACCCCAGTGAAAAACCATTATAAGCACCCAAATAACAAAGTTGGAGAATAGAAAGAAAAAAAATCTTCGGGCACTTTTAAAGCTTGCACAAATGCATTTAAAATCAAATTGAAGATGCCAAGTTGCTTTTACTGTTATACATCAATATACCTTACTGTTAAAACTTCCCCTCTGGATAACACCAAAGCGATGCTGCTCATCAATGACAGTAAAACGTAAAGCTGAAAACTCCACCTTTTCAGCAATTAAGCTATGTGTCCCAATGACCATATTAATATCACCATTCTGAAGGCCCTGTTGATTAACAAGAATCAGTGAACTTTAAAATTATGCGTGCCAGGACAAATATGTACATGCCTTAAGAATCATCTTTGACTGCTTTAAAGGAGTGGAACCAGTTAGTAAAACGATAGAAAGTCTGCAGTGGTCCTCCTTCATATTCTCCAACAATGAACTTAAATGCTCATAATGCTGAATGGAAACTAGCTCGGTTGGTACCATGACAGCAGCCTAGAACATGACCACGCAATATTATAACTCATTAAAGGTTAAAGTACTTAAGGGTAAAAATAATTACTCGAATATAGAGTATACCAAGCATTGAGAATAATAAAAACAACAGCTAAACGAACCTGAAAACCTGATGCAATAACCTCCAGACAAGCAAGGAAAGCAACAACTGTTTTCCCACAGCCAACATCACCCTGCAATTAACCAAAATCATCATAATGACATTTATAATTTTGTTCTATGTATGGCTAGACAACACATGAAACATACATAGAAGAAAATTAGTCACTTCAAAAAAGATGAATAATCAGTACCTTTGGCATTAAAACTAGACTAAATTTCAAATGCTCAATTTAAGAGAGCAAAATTACCGTCATATTCAACGAGTCTTAGTTTTCCAGAGACAAGGGCAGGTATGAATAAAATATCCAGCATAAAACAGGCAAGGTAGTAGATAAAATGGATACAAGATTGGAAACAAGAAATAAATTCCCGGAAAATCACACTAAATTCAGGTATCAGGCAAATTTAGAGTTTGAGATGACTAAGGTACAAATTCTTGTTTAATCCAAATTCTCAACTTACAGGCATTATGACAGAAAGATTGTCAAATGACTGATCTAAAGATCTATTAGCTGTAGTCTCATATAGAAGAAGCATATCTGATTGCAAGAAAGAAGGGCCTTAAATCCTCCCTTAAGTCTTCAACCAAACTCTTCCTTCCCCTACCCCTATTTTCTCAAGAGAAAATCTGAGAATTTTCTTCTCAGATTTTTGGTGAAATCTGAACTTGCTGTCAAAAAAAAAAATACATGGAGAGGAGATTTGTCCCTAGCAAAGCGTGTTTCCGTTCTACATCACAGTATCTACTTAAATAATTCATAATCGCGTTCGTACAAAACTAAGGCACCCTTTATATGAAATAAGATCCTAAACATGCACTAAAACTATCTCTAATTAATATCACAAGAAATAATGTATCCTATTAAATATTTATAACATTAAACAAAATTAAAACATGCATAGAAACCAAATAGGCACATGATGCTGATCTATATGGAGAAGAATTAACCACAGTGATTATCCTCCATTAGTGCCCTATCAATTAGAATCATACTTGTCAACGGCGAATGGCACACCACGGTGCAAAGTTCCCTGTGAAGCCATGACGCACAGAATGGCGCACGCTATTTTAAGCATAGCACTCAATATCAAATAATTAAAAAATGTATAGTTATTAATATTAAATACCATTAAATAGCTAATAATAGATTGATTATAGCAAAATATAAGCATAAATATACTACCAAAGAGCAAAAACGACAACTTTAAATCCTGCAAAAAATTACATCAATAGATTTGAGCTGGATTTAAACATAATTTAGCCTAAATCCGCCAAATAGAAAAAATGGCAGCTTTAAATCCTACAAAAATCTTAAATCTCTTAAATTTTTTGATATTTGATTAATCCAATGTTTAATCCATTAATAATTAATTATGATATTAATATATAAACCTTAAAATTTTCATTACAATTTATAATTTGAATTTTATAACATGTCAACAAAATAGCGCACACCATATGTGGATCCTTCGTCTCGTCGAAAAAAATCTAAAACATCCTCACCAGGAGATGAGCTCTTTCAACTGGGGAAGAATCTGATGTAGGCAAAGGGGGGCAATTGATTTTGGGTTGTATTTTTGGGCTGAGCTGCTATGTCATCTACTAAAATCAGCTCATTAAAGCTGGCTGCTGCTTTTTCAGCTCATAAATTAGGAACATTCCCCTTTCTTTCCCCCTCTGTTGGCCCTTCGGTTCCCTCCCCGCCTGGCTCCTGTCCCGTGGCTGGTTCTTCTCCCCTGACTGCCTGTTCTGGTTCCCTTTGTGCGTTCGTTCCTGTCTCCCCATGGCTGCCTGTTCTGATTCCCTATGTGGCCCTTCGACTGCTTCTCCTGGATCTCCTGCTGGCCTTTTGTATTCCCTGTTTTGATATGTTCGGTTGGAGGTATTTTGGGCTGTTTGGTTGCCCATTTTCTCCTATAAATATGTGATGTTTTGTATTAAAAAAAGAAGGTTATGTGATGATTTTTGGAAAGAAAACCTGAGGGTCCTTCTTTGATAGCTTGCGAGCTATGTACCCCTTTCTCTTCTTCTTGGGCTTCTCCTCTCTTTCTTCTCTCCACAAGTGACTACTCCATTTGTATCTTTCTTCTCGATGATTGAAAAGCAATTTTATGAGTTTTATGTTATAAAGTCGTATGTGTCGTCACTATTTTCATACTATTGTCATTTTGTGGTAATTTTAAGGATTTCCTAGTTTGTATGTAATTTGAGATCAATTTGATTGCATCAGGAGTTAATCTTAAGTTTAACCTGGGATGAAGCATACATCCTTTCGAAAACAGAGTTTTGATTTAATAGGATCATTGGCATTGTGCTAACTAAAATTAGTTTCATGAGTTAAGCCCAAAATCGATTGAAACCCAAAGTTCAATTAGTATGATCATAGATCTAATAGAAATCCCAAAATTCAATTTATAACATGGGGCTTATTGTCATATTTGTGAATTGTACAAAGGGCAATGTCTTACAAAAATACTGAGATGTGAGGTGGGAAGAGATTAGAAGAATACGTGTGACTAACAACTCAAATGCTAAAATTGGCCCAATAGTATGACTTCACCCTGCAAGTAAAGTGGGCAATATGATGGAATTTAATTTTTATGTAGTTTATATTCTACCACACATACTGAGATGTGACAGGGAGAGGATTAAAAGATTTTTTGGAGTTTTGGAGTGGTGGATAAAATTTTAAGATTGATGAAGGAAAAGGAATACAGTAACTACTTTTAGAGTTTTGAAACAAGTTTCTAGCTAAAACTTTATTGTAGAGAAAAGTTGAGTTTCCTTTAGTTGAACATTATAAGGAACTCCAGATCGGAAGTTAGGATGTTAGCTAACTAATGGTGATGATTTTAGGTTGATTTGGTCTGTGATTACAAAATTTTAAAGTTTCATTGTGGACCAGTTACAAGTGGGCAGCTTGAGTTGTGTTTTGATGAGAATAACATGGTTTAATTTTTTAAGATGAGGTGGTTTGAATCCATAGTAAGATGATGTGGATGTGGGAAACAAGTTTACAGAGATAGCAGGAAATGTTGGAGTTCGCAAACTTTAACTGTAATTTATCTGCAAATGAATCCGAATTTGGCATAACTAACTTCTTATAGACACAAGATTTTTCAAAAGATAAAAGCTGTTTTTTTCATTAAATCAAGAAGTATAAATTAGGCATGAAGCATTGTAGAAAGGGGGAAAACACACAAGGAAATACACAAAAATCCCGCCATGAAAATTCACCCAAAAGCTATAATGGCCAACTCATGAAAATCCTTCCCAACATGGAAACAAATAATATCACTCCAATTTGAAGGATTCAATTAAATCTATTGATTGCTTATTGGCATTGATTCGCGTGAATGGCTTTCAAACAAAATAGAGTGGTCCATGATGTGCATGCCATGAGTTGCACAAGTGCCACAAGCGAAGTGTATAATCAACAAAAGTTATTTGTACTCAACCCGTGAATGAATAGTATGTCCCAAGAACGAATCGTGTGAACCCAAAATAAAAAATTTTCATGAGACAAAATAGTACATTCTTGCAAATTACAGGTGATATGACTATTTTGATAGAGTGTATATCATGTGTCACACACCAAACAAAATTTTGTACGCATGTTCTCCAAGAGTATGGTGCAAAGGTACCAAAAAATGTGCTAACGCACTACCACAAATGTAGTGAAAAAAGTGTATAACACCCAAATGGAAAAAAAAATGTGTAAACGCTGAGCGTATGGACCCCAAAGGTGAAAGTTCTCATTATTAAGTCATGGATTCTTGTGTATCGTCGTAGTTTTACATTTACTCTTTGTGGTTTCTTAAATCGTTTGGGAATCGGATTTGCTCTTCTCTGTCTAAACAAGTTAAAAACCAATAATTCTAAGGATTAATCATTGTTATAAGTAATAAACTTATTGTGGGATTATTTTGTTAAAACTGCTCTCTTTAATTTCCTTAAAGTAACTCCATCGCATGTTTGTTTCACATCAAACGCACTATGCAAATGCACTGAAAATTATGTAAGTGTGCAAGTGTGTCATATAGGCATACTTAGAAATGTGAAAGTACATCCACATATGCTTCCATAAATATGTTAAATGTATAAATTTAAAGTCTGTGAATATTGTGTGAATAGAAAATAAAATAAATGTGAACTCCATCTTGGGAAGCCTGCAATTGCATAAAAAATTGTGCAAAAAATTTTGAAACTTCAAACTCTTTCTTTCAAACTTAAATTCATCAACATACAAGCATACTCTCAAGCAAGTTGTCCTATCTATAGACAAGGTCATAAGTATCACATTTCAAATTAAATTTTACTCTTTGAAAGGATTGGAATTGACTAGACGTGAACCCCATGCAGGATATTGGAGCAATAAATTTTGAACATGTTAAGAAAAAAGAATCATTGTAAAATCAAGCTCTCATTTAATTATGAAAATCCACGAAGAAGTTTCATTCCGCATTCACATTAGGCCTTCAAAACCTCTTATAAGAATAAATTCATTATAAAATGTAAACAATCAAGGACACCTTGTTTATGTGATAGATTAATAAAGTTAATTTTCATGATAAATCCTCTATGAACAAGCAAGTAGAGTTAAAAATGCTAAGTAGCAAAATTTAAAAATGTAAAAACCCTTATGATAGGCATCATAAGGGGAGAGGGCCTGCTTTTAAAAATAAAACTCTTAATTCGAAATATAGATGATTCAAATCATTCTCTTTCGATGATGCCCGCTTTGAATGAAAATCTCAAACGAAGGGGCACTATTTTCAAAATACTCTCAAATTCTTTTGCAAACTAGTTTCAATTCAAATTCATCAATAAGGATAAATATAATATGTATTCAAAAAATTAAATGGGTCAGAGAAAAAGTCAAGGATATTGATAGTTTAAGATTTAAACTATATTATTCAGGTAGGAGTCGTACTACAAATGATATAAGTGTGATTATAAATAAAAATTTGAAGGATAATGTTATAGAAATTAATAGAATTGGAGATAAAATTATACTTTAAAGATTATTATTATGCTAAAATTATTAATATCATAGATGCTTATGCTCCTCAAATAGGCTTGAAGATATATTTAAAATTAAAATTTTGAAATAATTTAGAATAATTAATACAAATAATACCTCTTGAAGAAATTTTTTTATTAAAGTAGATTTAAATGGACAAGTTGGTAGAGAGATAAAATATTTAAATTAAAAAAAGATGGGAGCATCTCATTACTTAAAGAATCGACATAGTAAAACTCATATTAATTATTTTCATTGAAGAAAAATAGATTATCTAGATTACAAATATTATAAAGTTATTCCAAGTGAAATTTTATGTACCTAACATCATGTATTAGTTTTGAATTTTTAGATAAAGAAGTGAAATATAAAAATAAAGTACAATATTATCCTAAGATTAAATGGGAGTATTTAAAGAATACTAATAAAATATTATTGAGAGGAAGATTCAATATTGGTAAAAATAAATTAAGAATGTTACAAAACATATGCTGGGAGAATAAAAAGGAAATGCACCTAATAATAAAAATATCTAGTGTTGGAACCAAAATATGCAGGAAAAGATTAAAAACAAGATGCTTTTGATTTATATGTAAAAATCCAATGTTAAAGATATAGAGCGGTCTATAGGGAGCTTAAGAAAGCAATATGTGACGCAAATAATTTAGCTTTTAGTGATTTATATAATAGATTAGATCCAAAGAAGGACGAAATATATATGTTGACATCAATACTAGTGTCACGGTCGAGTCGACAACACAAGGTGAGGTTAGAAAGAGAAAGAGCTCAAAATCATGCTAAACTCACCCGATGTACATTGAACGAAAATCAAAATCATCGAAATAACCTCCGTTTGTGCAACAGACAGCACCAATGCGTCCGGATAAACAGAAACAACTAAGATCAACAAACATATAGATAGGGGTCATCAATCAACAAAATTTTAAGTTTTTCACATGTGAATTGAGGCAACGACATGCTCGAATGACGATGGTGATATAACGACAACGACGTGATGGCAACCAAGTCAAAGCATGATTAAAAAAAATTGATTCATATGATTATAAATAATAATAGAGAGCGATTTTTAAAAAATAGAAATTCCTAAATATCCTTTAAATACCCCTCTTGTCATCCCCACTAACTTAAACTCTCTCATCCAACCAGCCCCATGTCACAATTATGACATTCTCACGCAAGGAGCCCACCCCCTTCTCTCCCTCTCTCGGTTCTCTCTCACGCAAGCCGCCAGCTAAGCTCCCCTCCAATCGGCCACTACCCAAGATAAAATCCTCCTTCCCTTCTTCTTCCACTTTCTTTCTTCTTCCTTCTTTCTTCATTTCTCTCCGTTTTCTTCTCTCATTATTCCTCTATTCTTCTCCTCCATCTTCTTCCTCACCATCATCTTCCTCAAACCTAACCCTAACCCTAATTTTTTTATCTCTCCCTATCTACACCTCAAATCTTACATCTCGCTTCACGAAAATCACTCCTCTAGACCTCCTACATCTACTCCACCAAAAAGCCCCTTCAACCTCGACTTTCTATCACATAAATTGAAAACTTATCCAAAACACCAATTGTGATCAAGCCAAAGGTTACAAGTATCTCAACACTACTAGAGCCCCCATATAATCATACTAGCCATCACTCGGTCTCCATTAACCAATATCCAACATCAACAAGTAAAAAAGACAAAGCCTTAGTGAAATCAAAGATGTGACAGACTCAAAAGGGTGTTTATACCTCCCTAATCAAATTAAAGATACAATAGACGCAAGATCCTCACAATTGATGGCACACTATGCTATTTGCATCTTCTTTTACTTACTAGTGCATTGTGTAGTTCACGTGTATGCCTCTTCTTATAGTAGTCATTGCAGGATTTAAAGAGGACAAGCGGACTTTCAATAGCAAGTAGGAAGTTTGCAATAGATTGCGATGGGGGTCGTGGATGTTGTAAAGCACTTGGTGAGGGAGATGCTTAAATTAGAGCTCATATGCGTGAGACTTGAGAATGGGATCAAGCCCAAGAATTGCGGAGAACTACTACAAATTGCGTTTAAAAGAAGGGAAACCAACCAAAGCTTATATGGGAAGGAGTTGGCTAAGCAGTTTAATAACCACCGCACAAAAAAAAAACAACTAATCGCGAATCCCATTCAAGGCAGTAGGATCTCGTTTGTGGTCTTTCTACAAATTTATGCACAGGCTGAATCTGTTCTGCCTCAAATTGTTGTCCAACCTACAAAGTTTAGGTTTTAAAACTGTTTGTGAGAAAGCATATGAAAAAGTTTCGAATATTCACAAGCTTCAATATGGAAAATAAAATTTCCAAAAAATCACATAGAATTCAATGTGAGAGTTGACTAGGAAAACAAATATTTTTCTTATTTATATGAGGTAAGATAAATAAAAACAATTAATAGGCATCAATAAGACAAAATTTGACAGCAAATACCTGTAAAAGTCTGTTCATAGGGACTGGTCTTTTAAGATCCCAGATAATTTCAGAGACAGCATTTAACTGGCCTGGAGTTAGGGAATATGGGAGAGCTTCTAAAAAGCTTTTAGTAAGGGTGGACCATTCCTCCACAGGAGTAGCATTTAATCCGTTGCATTTGTATTTATACAGTAGTTCTTTCTTCTCGATCTGTGTACCTAGTGAGCCAAGCATTTGAAAAAGTCGCCCCAACTGCTGAGTGGAAAGACATGAAATAATTAATTAGGCCCCGAAATAATCTTTTTCGTCATAAGGGGCAGACATCACAATTGATAATGTATGAAGAACTAAAAAAAATCATGACTGGACTGAAGTGTACGCTAAGAAAAAACAAGCCTTGTTTGATTACTATAAAAAATAAAAATAAAAACTTTCCAAGCCTAAAGCTGCTCAGTATCAAAAAGTGCATTCACCATGAAGTATGAAACATTAAACAACGCCAAGGGCATAATGACATTTCTTAAGAGGTTATATACCCATTTTACAAGCCCTTTTCCCATCTGAAAAAAATATTGTAAGCAATAAACCGCTCAATGGCAATTCAATCTAGCATGAATTATAGATTGGTTAGTCATGTTTGAAGATCAAATTCAAGTTTAATGAACCATGAAATCCATTGCAAAAAAACAGAAAAAAGAATAAATTTATTTCATGTTTTAACATCAGTAAAAAACCTGTAGATCTTATGCAAATACAGCAATCACAAAGGAATGTTTTCAAGCAGAAAGTGTAATTTTCTCATAGTGGTGATCAAATTTTTTCACAACGCAAATACCATGCTTTTTGCTGCATAATTTCATGGTCAATTGAAGTTTGTCACATCCTATATATATATATATTCATGTTTAAACAATAGTAATTTAAAATTTTTCGATGTTTTCTTGAATGGATGTATATTTACCTGCATGTAAAAAAACTCGTCAAAATTTAGTCTTCTACGAGCCAAATCAGCTTCATTTAGATTGTTTGGTCTGTGGATTCCCATATAAGCCTAATCAGTCAAAAAGAAAGAATATACAGTTAGAACACAAAAGTTGGTGACCATGCCAAAGGTCATTTTCAACATAAAACCATAATTTACACAAACAAGAAAATGAAAACACAAAACCATATTTAGTCTTTCACCCTTCAAGCTTTATTTTAACTTAAATGTGATAAATAAATCATTAGAATGTCAGGTTAGAGCCAACAGTGTAAAGTAGTTGCATATTGCATATTCTATTTAGAAATCTTTACTTAAAACGTATGATTTTTTCTTCAAAAGATAGTAATAAATGAAAAAAGCAACCTGATTTTTTCAATACGGAAAATAAAATTTTTGCACGAACACCAGAAGGTGGGAATGGTATTTTAGATAAACACTCACAGCCTTTTCCAAATACTAATGGTCGGATCTACGAATATTTTTCCTCTTTTCAATTTTGTTTAGTGTTGCATGCACTGTTAAGATTAGTTTAAGCTATTCTTTGGATTTGTTTTGTTTTCATTTTGTTTTTTTCACAAAAATCAAGAACATGTTTGATGTCTTAATAATTTCTTATTTTAAAAAACAAAAAAAAAACTTGATTGGACATGAACAATGAAAACAAAAGTAATTAATGCTTAATTTGCAAGGGTTAGCATTTATCATTATTAATCACATCTAAGTATTAATTATCCTAATCTTACGCCCAATTTAATCTAAGTTAACTATAAAAGTCAGTAATTAATAATTCATTTCTTGTGTCTTTATTCTTTTTTCTCCTTTTTTCCTTATTCCTTTCTCCTGCAATTTGTCCTCCAGCTGATTTTCCCTCTTCCAGCATTAACCCCGTGCTCGAATTATGCTCCAGCTCGCAAAAATTAAGTCCTAAAGCCACGGAACTTAAATGGAAGTTAACCCCTTATGTATTTTTTATTAATTACTTAATATTTCTCCACTATTCCCACCATTCAATTTGCTTCTGTCAGATTTTCCAGCACAGCCGTTCACAACATCCCACCGTTGCATGAATAGATTAGTGAAATTTAGGTGATGCTATGGTGCATGAATTCAATGTACAGTAGTATTAAATTTCTTAACTCAAGAATTTGATTAAAAACGCATTTTAATTTCTATAGCCATATATCACCAGAATGTCTTTTATGCATAATATAATTAAATGGTCAGTACAACTTGAAGGATCTTATAAAATACTATTTTGAAGTTTTAAGATGTGCAAAAAAACGGGGTAAATTATTTTGGGAGAAAAAGATCAAAATGGTCCCTCAGTGCTTTGTGAGAGACCAAAAGATCCCCAACTATTTTGAGGGACCAATTTGGTCCGTCAACTCCTTATCTCGGTAACATTTGATCCTAAAATCTAAACTAATTGATGTTGGACTTAATGGTGTTAAAAATAGGTGTATTTTAGTCTTTTTTAATTAAATAATTTATTAAATATATATTTTTAGTAAATATAATTTTTCTAAAAAATTTATTAATCATTTCTTTAATAAAAGAAATTAATACTATTTTTTTAGTTTAATTTCAAAAATTTTAGTCATATTTTAAAAATTATGATAACTTAAAATAATTGTGACCAAGTTAAAAAGCTAATCATAATATTTCTTTAGTTTGAGAAGATAACAGCTATTTGCATATAATTTCTCTAAATCAATAAATATCATATGTAGGTACCCTTGGATCAAAATAATCAAAAAATCTTTAATAAATTAATGATGCTCTATGGCTCAAATTTTGTCTCAAGCTACTCCTGATGTTAATTAAGACTTTGCTTGTTCGTCCAGAAAGAGTCATGCAAAAAAACATTCAACCTACATATGTCAATGCAGAAATTTTCAATTTTGCAGTAGCTACGCAAAGACAATTATATGAAAATGAAAAAAAAATTGGCAACTAAAAATTCTCCCAATGCTTTACTAGATAAATCCATTGTTTCATTACAGACATATTATAGATTAAAGAGGCATACAAAAAAAAAACAAAAAACTAAAACAAAAGCAAAAAAGCATTTAAAGAAGCATATGTCGCTAGATATTTAATAGCTAAATTTCATTCATTAAAGGCTTCTCCATCCTGATGGTTGCGCGATCGACACTCACAACTCAATTGATGGATGCTCGCTAGGTTTGCATGACCTGGTGGTCAAGGTGATCGACGCTCACTGCTCAATCGATGGACGCTTGCTAGGGCTACGGGACCTGATGGTCAATGCGTGCGCTGCAGAACGTTAGGGTTGAAACTACGGTTGACGCGTGCGCTGCGAGACGTTGGGGTTAAAGCTTCAACTGACGGGTGCGCTACGAGATGTTGGGGTGGAAGTTGTTGTTGACATATGCGTTGCAAGACACTGGTGGTCTAAGTTGCGGTCGCACACACTGCACTGCGAGACATGGGAGCCGAATGTACTATAAGAGTGATGCGGACATCGGTACGAAGATTTGGCGCAGCTATCACAGGAAGCGTCGTAAATCGACGGCTATAATTTAAATCTTCAATTATGAGTTATTTTTCTGAATTTTAGTTTTTATTTGATGGATTTCATGTTTTACTCCTAGGTTGGTTTATGTGAGTGTTGTGACCCAAGGGGCAATTTTGTATTTTGAGTTTTCTTATGTATTTAACACTGCCGTTGCCAAGTCCCAAGTCCTTGATGAGAAAAGTGGAGGGTTGCGTTAGGTAGTCGACAACCAGCGTAAAACTTGTCGAACAATAATGACATTAATCCTTTAAGAAATTGTGTTAATGCTAGGACGTCCCTTGGAAGCGACGCGCTGTATGGCCTGAATACAGTGACAAGTGTGCAAGGGCCGTTGCACCGGCGCCCGGTGCAGTGTTAAATAGGCAAGGGTTCCCACATCAAAGAGGAATGTGGGAAAAGAAGCTAGTCCATGAAATTAAAATTAGGATAGGAACTTGGAATATAGGTTCCCTTACAGGAAAATTAATGGAATTAATAGATATTATGATTCATAGGAAGTTAAATATTTTGTGCATTCAGGAAACTAAATGGGTTGGAGAGAAGGCTAAAGAAATTGATAGTTTATGATTTAAACTTTGGTATTCGGGTAGGAGTCATACTAGAAATGGTGTAGGTGTTATTATAGATAAGAGTTTAAAGGATAATGTTATAAAAATTAATAGGATTGGAGATAGAATTATAGCTTTAAAGATTGTTGTTGATGATAAGATTGTTAATATTATAAGTGCTTATGCTCCTCAAGTAGGTTTGGATATGAGTTCTAAATTAAATTTTTGGAATGACTTAGAAGAATTAATACAAAATATACCTATTGAAGAAAGAGTTTTTATTGGAGGAGATTTAAATGGACATGTTGGTAGAGAGGTAGATGATTTTAAAAGCATTCATGGTGGCCATGGATTTGGAACGACGAATGAAGGTGGCAAGACCATATTGGATTTTTGTTTAGCTTATGATTTTTCAATTGCTAATACCTTATTTAAGAAAAGGAATGAGCATCTCATCACTTATAAAAATGGATATAATACAACCCAGATTGACTATTTTCTTATTAGAAAATTAAATCGTTTAGATTGCAAAGATTGTAAAGTTATTCCAAGTGAAAGTTTATGTAC